TAATATTGAAATCGTGCTGTTTTCGTTTTGGATTAGTGGATTAGATGTACTGTTTTCAATTCCCTTCGCGGCGTGAACCAATCCAAGCATAAGCCGGAAACGAATCGAGGAAAAAGGTGGATAAAATTTACTAAGCAGTCAAAGCTTATTTCACAAAATATAATACAAATGTCTAGCAACGATCAATTTAGAAGACACTATGATTGGGTAGGAGAGATAGAGTGAGAAACCGTATGAGATAGAGAGGGGGAAAGAGTGAGAGAGAAGAAAAGAACGAGAGAAAAGAGTGAGAGAGTGGGAGTAAAAGAGAGAAAGAAAATAAAGGGAGGGAACTAGCATAGATGGAAAAGAGAAGATATATATTTTGATTGACGGATAAAGAGATATAAAAAATAGATCGGTATGGAAATAGAGATAGAGAAAATGAGAGTGAGAAAGAAATAAGAGTGCTTTTTCCTTGTTTGCTTCCTTTCATTAATTTTTTTAGGGATTGTTTATTTATGTCAATTGTTCGTTTGTGCGCTTTATATTTATTTTTTCTCCGTGTGCTTGCTTTTCTTATAAGTTTTCATGTTTCTCCATTCACATTTCCTAGTTAAATCTTTTTCTTTGTTTGTTTATACGTGGGTATGTGTATGTGAGTGGATGAGTGTCTTTGTTTTTAGCATCTTGGTATATTTCGTTCCAGTTTCGTCTGTGTATTGTTTCTTAGCGTTTTCAACAAACAATTCTTGATTTTTTATCGTGTTGATTTATTTGCTTAGGTTTTTCTTCGTGTGCTTGTTTGTTTATGTATGTTTTTGTTTACATTTACAAATGGTTTATTCTGTTCGTTTTAAAATTGTCTGTGTTTTTGTATTCGCGCTTGCTTGTACCGATGTGGCTTTAATTGTAATTTGTATGTATGTTCTCTTTCTAAACGTCTCTCTCTCTCTCTCTCTCTCTCTCTCTCTCTCTCTCTCTCTCTCACTCACACACACAAAGTGTGTGTGTGTGTGTGTGTGTGTGTGTGTGTGTGTGTGTGTGTGTACGTGCGTGCGTGCGCGCGAAAGTATCTTGAGTTATGGTGTAATAAATTTGAATTTCTTATCATTGCAATATTATCCTTTTATCACCGTATTGCTTATTATTGTTGTACTTCACGTGTTTACAATAGATAACTAAGCTAGATGGTTGGGAAAATAAAAAATAAAATAGTGGGTGTCACAACATGCAATATTTTTCAATATGATACACTTAAACCAGTACAACATTTTAAATTGGGTTTGATATATAGACTGATATAATTGATTCATCGGATGGGCAAGCGATTCGATTTAAATTGAGATTTATTTGGTCATAAGATAAGATATCACGAAAACTGACTCTGATCGTAATTTATACATCAACAGACGCTCCCTTAATTGGGCGGTATAGGTTTCTCGGCGTATACCCGCGCCCGTTTCCCCGTGGGTAGGGAAATTTGAACAAGTAGGTTGTATCAAAGGCAACACCATTTTGGGAAGTTGTTCGAAAGGGGGTCAGACTGTTACGGCACAACGCGATCCCAGACGAGCCATCGGCTGCATACATCATGTCGCAAACGGGACATATTCGTGGCACCCGTTGCAAGAATGCCAACGTTGCGTAATATTAAGAAAAAAACAAACAACTCATGGCAGTAGCAAGCGTAATGCGATAAAAATTACCGATATTTCACATTCCGGCTTAATGTACATTATTTTTACATCTTTTACACGGCATAGAGGTGAAATCATAACACAAATTCCGCATATCCTACCAATTCACGGCGTAATGTTCGTGTAAAAATGTTAATGAGGTCGTACATAAAAATAAATGGGTCACATTATCAGTTTTATTGAATATTGAATAGGACCGACAGAAAGTAGTTTCAATCCATTTGTGTCAAATTGAGCAAAAACGTAAATTTGTTGTGTTTGTGTGTGTGTGTGTGTGTGTGTGTGTGTGTGTGTGTGTGTTATATTATAAGAATCTCTTTTTGTGTGTATTATCGTCTTCGTATGTGTCTTTAACTAATTTTGTGTGCGTGCGTGTTTTTATGCCTTTTTTCCAAGTGTGTGGCGTATATGTTCCCACCCTTGCGTGCATTTGTATTATTGTATACTATTTTTCTTAGTTTAATACATTTTGGTCATTATTCTACTTAAGAAAATATGACAAGCAAAAATTGTAACAATAAAAAACAAACAAACAATCGGTGTACAATCAACAAACTCTTTTTAAATGATAGCATCTTAATTGTTTGAAACGTAAAACTTTGAGAATAATTTCTCGCAATAAAAATAAATTAATTACATAATCAACAATCTGATATGTTTTTAGACCAAACTTAACCTTAATTAATACACTTTTTTAAATTATGTTGATTTTTTCCAACCCTATGAGAATTTAGGGAATAGCTCCTAGGTTGAATAATTATATTAACATGCTCTCGTTAAAATAAGAAAATTAACTAACCCTATTAATATAAATACTTAATTCTCAAGGAGAAAGAGCTTTTTGTTTATACCAATCAATCACTGTTGCAATCTGTGGAAAAAAATGCAAATTCTACTGGTATTGACAAACAAATATTTTATAAATAAAAATTGTGAAATCATGTTCTTTTAATAATATTCTTATTCATATCATTTTCGGATTACAACTGGTGAAGGAAGACAAAAATTATTCGTTAGATAATTTATTAAATTATGTTGTGTAGTTTTTATGTAAAGTGTAAATGGGATTTTTTAAAGTATTATTCGTGGGTTTTACAATTTTTCCATCAGAAATTGAACAACCTGTTTAGTTTAGATGTTTTATGCTCGAAACATGAGCTTATTTCAATTTTTAATCTTAAAGGGAATTTGTATATATTTCATCAAGCGTTAAAATGTTTATTTATTTATCTTTATTATTTAGGTAATAATTTGAAAATGCTGACTAGGTTAATGTAATAATAGGTTTATAGAACATTTTTTTAGGCTTTGTAAAAATATATTTGAAATAAAGTGTTTAATTAATTATAGGTTTAAAAACAACTGTCAGTGTTGTGCAATATATTTGCAGACCACTTTGCACAATATTTTCGTTTGTCTTTCCTCATTAGAATCAGAGCTAATTAAATATTTAAAATTAATAAATAAGTACTTAAGTTAAAAAAAAATTTAAAAAATGCAAGATTCAAGCTATATTTTTTGAGCATTCATATTTTAAAGATTTTTTGTTAAAGTTTAAAAAAATTAATTACTATTAAATTAGATATTGCAGACATTAAAAATAAGGAAAAAAACGATCTTTAAGCAATATTTTAAAAGATGTTTTATCAGAAGTTTTCAAGCGTTTAATTAACTATACAAACTTTAATAAAGACAAGTATAAGTGTTGAGCAATGAATTTGCAGACCACTTTGCTCAATTATTTCCTTTGTCTTTCCTCATTAGAATCAGGGATAATTAAATATTTAAGATTTAAAAAAGACCGACAAATGCAATATTCTTTATTTTTTCAGCATTCACATTTGAATGTTTTTTTTTAACGCTTAGGAAGTTTATTTGCTGATAAATTAGACATCATCATAGTCAAAAATATGGAAAAAACGATCTTTAAGCAATATTTTAAAAGTTGTTTTATCAAAAGTTTTCAAGCGTTTAATTAATTACACAAACTTTAATAAAGACAAGCGTAACTGTTGGGCAATGGATTTGCAGACCACTTTGCTCATTTATTTCCTTTTCTTTCCTTATTAGAATCTGGGATAATTAAATATTTAAGATTTAAAAAGACCGACAAATGCAATATTCTTTATTTTTTCAGCATTCACATATGAATGTTTTTTTAACGCTTAGGAAGTTTATTTGCTGATAAATTATACATCGCAGTCAAAAATATGGAAAAAACGATCTTTAAGCAATATTTAAAAAAATGTTTTATGAGAGGTTTTCAAGCGTTTATTATTTATATTCAAGCTTAATTTAATTAAATTATTTATATTAATTCATAAAGACAAGTATCTGTGTTGGGCAATATATTTGCAGATCACTTTGCTCAATTATATCGCGTTTTTCCTCATTAGAATCAGGGATAATTAAATATTTAAAATTTAAAAAAGACTGACAAACAATTCAACCTTTATCTTTAGGCATTCATATTTGAAAGTGTTTTTTAACGCTTAAGCAGTTTAATTATTTGCTAACATACAAAACAAATCGTATGCTTTAAAAATATCGAAATAAACGATCTTTAAGGATGATTTTAAAGTTTTTATAAGATTTTTTTAAACCTTATTTCTATGAAGTTTTTGCAAGCTGGGGCTGCCTTTTGAATAAATATTTATTGTCCAGCTCAATTGGTATTGCCGACCTTACAAAGACCGACAAAAACAAATTTTGAGCATTGCTTTCTCAGAATTCCAGAGATCCAGAGTTTTTCTAACCACCGGTCACTGTTGTGACAGATTCAGATTTCAGCCCTTAGCAATTAAATGAGATTTTTCACATTTTCAAAAGAGATCAACAAATGCAAGTTTAATAATTTCTTCAGATTTTTTAATGTTATTTTTTATAGCATTGTTTACCGTTTTATTGGATATAAAAGTATCGAGTAGTTATTATACACTTTAAATATATGCCTTAAGACTTTTTCATATCAATTTTTTTCCACTATCGGTTATCATCATTTTGTCAGATCAAATGTTCAGGGTTAACGGTGTGATGACAACTTGATGGAATTTCTCCAAAGGTTCTGACTTCCACGATTTGCTGAATGGTAGTGGCAGTCATCACGTGCGAAAATTTCAAGAGTAAACAATTACCTTTATTCAAAAAATTAACCAAATTTGACGTTTTGTGCACAAAAACTTGTTCCATTTCGCGATTGTTTTGCCATATAATATAATATGGCTATTTATTTAAACCTTTCAGACGAGATACTAGGAGAGATACTTAATGTCACGATTCATAAATAAAGTGAAAAAAATCCGAATGGAATAGTGCACATACCTGTTGCTGGGTTATATCCGATTCCGAAACACAAACTCACATACATACAACACAGTTGGACAGACGGGAAGAACTGTTGCACCTAGGGAGAAGAGGCCTGACCGCTGGAGGCCCCCACCAGGGTGCACGCCCCTCCACGGCTCTCTTCGACGATGGAGGATATCTACATGGAATCTCGAAATTAAAGGCTATCCTTCTCTCAGTTTATCCTATTAAAATCAACTTTTCAAAAATACTTTCCGCCGACGTTACTCGTAAAATGGCCAGACGGGTTCGGCCGACTGGAGCTAAGAGTTTAAAATCTGATCCGTCTTTGACTGACCCACCGGAGAGGTCACCGGCAGGTTCTGTATTGAGATTAAGAATTTTGGGATCCGTTTCGCTCCGTTGTTTTTCATTATTCCGCCTAGCTAGACTCTAATGATTCAGCCCTAATCAATAAAACATAATATATAACCTACCTGACCATGTTTGAGAAATACATGTCGGATTTCGGGGATTCGACGACAGTGCTGAAATCGACCGACCAAATGCTAGTCTAAATCCGTTCGAGAATTGTTCCTTCAGACGTTCGATTTGACCGTTTCAGGATTATTTAAAATTTATATTTAAAACCTTATTATTATGGTTATTATACTTTTTCAAAAAGAAAAAGAACGAATGATGTTTTGTTTAAATTGAAAAAATACTTTCGAAAACGTAAAATTTAGCTTTTGAGGAATTAATCCACTTCAGCAGGATTTTGAAATAATTCTTAATAATTTATAATGTTAACAATATGCGTATACTCTCAAGGACAAAAAAAACCGGACACTCTTATTTTGTGGTTTATTTCAAACTGTATAAACTTAACTATAAATTAACAATATAAAACTATAAATTAAAACAGAATATTTTATATAGATTTTTTTTAATGAAAACTTAAAATCCTGCATTATTTTCCGGACAACCCGATATAATACTAAAAATTAATTATATAAAACTATAAATTAATTATATACAACTATAAACTACTTTAAACTATAAATTAACTGTATAAAACTGTAAAGTAAATATATAAAACTGTAGACTACTTAAAACTATACAAATAACGGTGTTAAACTTTAAAGTAAAGTTATCAAACTATAAACTACTTAAAAATATAAATTAACTGTACAAAATGTAAAGTAAATATATCAAACAATAAACTACATAAAACTATAAATTAACTATACAAAACTATAAATTACTTATATAAAACTATAAACTACTTGAAACTATATATTAACGGTATAAAACTCTAAAGTAAACATATCCATCTATAAACTACATAAAACTATAAATTATATATATAAAGCGATAAACTACTTAAAACTATAAATTAACTATATAAAACTAAAAATTAGGTATAAAACTAAAAACTACTTAAAACTATAAATTAACGGTATAAAACTGTAAAGTAAATATATCAAACGGTAGACTACTTAAAACTATAAATTAACTATATAAAACTAAAAATTAGGTATATAAAACTATAAAATACTTAAAAGTATAAATTAACTGTATAAAATGTAAAGTAAATATATCAAATAATAAATTACATAAAACTATAAATTAACTGTATAAAAATATAAATTAACGGTATAAAACTGTGATGTAAATATATCAAACTATAAACTACATAAAACTATAAATTACATATATAAAACGATAAACTATTTAAAATTATAAATTAACTGTATGAAACTGTAAAGTAAATATATCAAACTGTAGACTACTTAAAACTATAAATTAATTGTATAAAACCAAAACGTAGTTAAATAAAACTATAAACTACTTAAAACTATAAATTAATTGTATAAAATGTAAAGTAAATATATCAAACTGTAAACTACATAAAACTATAAATTAACTATATAAACTATAAATTACTTATACAAAACTATAAACTATTTAAAACTATAAATTAACGGTATAAAACTGTAAAGTAAATATATCAAACTATAACCTACATAAAACTATAAATTACATATATAAAACGATAAACTAATTTTAAAATTATAAATTAACTGTATAAAACTGTAAAGTAAATATATCAAACTGTAGACTACTTAAAACTATAAATTAACTGTATAAAACTGTAAAGTAAATATATCAAACTATAAATTACTTAAAACTATAAATTAACTATAAAATAATAATTAACTATATAAAACTATAAATTAATTATATAAACCTAAATTACTTAAAACTGTAAATTAACTATATAAAACTAAAAATTGATTACATAAAACTATACATTACTTAAAATTATAAAGTAACTGTATAAAACTAAAAAGTAATTATATAAAACTATAGACTAGTTAAAACTATAACTTAACTACATAAAACTAAAAATTACTTATATAAAACTGTGAACTACATAAAACTATAAATTAACTACATATACACAAAAATTAATTATATAAAACTATAAACACTAACACTATAAATAAACTATAAAAACGTTATCATTAACGGTGGACACATACTAATTTTATTTAATAAATGCTATGGAGATTAAAAGATTTATAAAATGAACTACGAGACTAGGCGAAACCAGAAAAAAACGTTTGACATTTTCAGGCCGACCGACTTGGGTCTAAGTTAATTAAAAACCCGAAAAACTTGTCTTTTTAGGCTGACTAACAAAGTTCAATTTAAATCATAATTAACCATGTTTTTACATTTTATTGCGTGTTTTAATTGTATATTTACCCTGTATTGACAATTGAGGTCAAAAATCAAGTGTGTACATATCGAAAGGATCGCCTGAATTTCTAATAGTGAAACTCGCAGAATGTCAGTTTTTAATATAGTTAATCTAAAATCAAATCGCGATGGCACAACCCATGGTTATTTGAGGAAGTTGGCCAACCGGCGATCCCCATCGGGAAAAGCCTTTCGTTTCGAGCATAACCTACATAACTCCCATCTGAGGCCTGCTCCCCTTTTTTAAACGATTCAACTTCTTTGCCACGCTTCATTTGAATGTCCATGCTGCAATTATGACGAAGTGATAATGTGTAAGTAAAAATTGAACTTCATAAATGTCACTTACTTTATATTTATTGTGTTTAACGATGTGGTCACTAGAAAGGACTGCATGCTGCAAAACGTTCACAACATAAGTTCATTTAAAATATTTATTCAGTATTTAGATCATATTTAATAAATAAACACGACTAATACACTAATAGAGTTTTACATTTTTTAAATGTATAACTAATTAAAACTTTTTTAAATTTGAACGTTGTTTTCAATCATCAGTGAACCAACAAATATATAAAAAAAAAGATTAAGAAAGATCAGAAGTTAAAAAAAACAAGCAGGAAAATGCTAGTTATTTGGCTATAAAATTTAAACGAAGTATAATAACAAATAGAGGGAATAGCATAAACAAATTTTGTGAGGCAGAAAAAATTTAAAGATTTCCATTAAATAGGTACAAAAAAAAATACAGACGCTTGTAAATATTTATTTGTTATTTTCCATAAATTGAAATAAAAATTAATAGTTGACTTAAAACGTAAACACAACATTAATAACTTGTTGTTTACCCTTATAAAGTGTTACTTTTACTCTTTAGACAAAAAATAAAAAAGTTCAATTTCATCCTTTCTGAGCCAACTTGTCCAGTGAGTTAATTGGTGTTTCAGATAGTTTTCTTTGATGAAACACTACATTTTAGTAAAACATAATTTTTTTTCTTAAAACCACGGCTTTAATCTCATCTGGGCAGATGCTTTGTCCAACGACGGACATAGCGACGGCCACATATCCCGAGTCGTGTGCCACGCTGTACCATCCTCGATGGTCTACCGGAATTCCAAAGGGATCTCTCTGCTAGAGACGGACCGTTTATTTGCTTTTACCACAGTACGGAACCGTCCTTTAACGGCTTCCTTATAGATAGTCAAATCCAAATGGTCCTTAATTAGGTCCTTAAGGTTGAGCTCCAAAAAAAGGCTTCATGGAAACAGCCTCAAGACGTGCCACATCAGGATCTCTACTACTGGCGAGACATCGAGGAAAAGATGACTATTCGCCAATCACCATCTGGTTTCGACACCCTGGGGGGTGGCTGTTAACTGCGCTAAGGTATATTGAGGAAGCTCTTCTTGAAGCTCATTCGCTTCATTTATTGGGATCATAGCTCGAATTGTCACCCTGAGAGGATGTAGGGATTATCACAATGAATTGGCCAGCACGTTCTTCTGACATGAATCCTTCAGAACACTTAAGTGACATGATAAAGAGACGGTTTAGACATGGACTTTAATGCGACCAAATTAATATAACGACAAAAATATATATAGTTTGAAATAATAGTGTGAATTGTGGGTGTTTGTGTTTGTCTTTGACTGTATAAAGTTAACTAGCAAAGAATGCATATCAACTTTTATTGACTTGGTATAACTTATAAATGGTCTAACCCGATTGCTACTAGAAGAATCATCATTTACTCAATGAAATGTGAAAATTTATTACCTATTATAATTATTTTTTGTTAAAATAATTTAAAATTAAAGGATTATTTGTGTATAAAACCTGGAGAAGAGATTTATTCTTAATGACAGGGTATGTTGTTGGTGGTAGAAACCCTATTAATTTTTGCTCCAGTTCAACGTCTCAGACCAGGATGTTATTCAGTTGTCTTGATATGTGAAGCACATGTGGCATTTTAAGAAGGCCGAATGGAAAAACAAGATGAATCGAACGGGTTAGTTGTCATAAACCATAAATATTCATTGCGTACAAGGCGGATAAAATTTGCTCAGAACAATGGACCTCGTTTTAAGCAGTCAATCTCTTTGGAAAGACAAAAGGCGAAAAGGATTTGCAACGCGATTACTCATAGCGTACGCTCCTGCAGTTATAAATAATTATATTTTATTCCTAATTCTGCAGCGATGATTGACTAATAAAGTATTTTTATTTAATAAGTGCCAAGTCGTCTAATTAAATCTTTGTTAATGGCAGTATAATTTGTTCAATGCATCCTATTCTCTTGTTGATACAAGGTTCCAGTCTGAAAAATTTTAAAATAGAAATAATACTCCTCTTCT